CAAAAGCAGAAGTAGAGATACTCTCATGATGATTTGTGAATTTTTGAAGGATATTTTTCATTGTTATTATTATTTGCCTCATCCTGTGAAGGGCTATAAGGTTCAGCAAAACTGTTCTCGTTCAATACTTTATATATCACTACTGATCCTTGACCTACAGAGGGAAAGAGCTGGTAAAACGTTTCCTAACAAAGAACGCAATTTCTCTGACAACTGAACTATGAAAAACTTCCATTTCCACTTAAAAAACTCTTCTATTTTTCAACCTTTGATATTTTGACTTTTGCCTTGTTTGTCTCTCCAAAGTGAGAGGCTACAGAACAATGCAGAGCAGCCGCTTTCTCAAAGGGCAGAAGCGGCAAGGAAAGACAGGGAATCATTGCCACCAAGTGGAGAAATACAAAACTGCACGGTATGCCCGCGTATCGCTTCTCTTTCCCTGCGTAACCCTGAGAAAACATGCCAAACAGCTCTCGCTGCACCACTCTAAGAATCAGCTGCAACTTTTCACCATTTGCTTGACTATTTCCAAAGCATATTTTAAACTGCATGTATCCTGCCTCAGAAAGTTAGTAGTTTTGATTTTCAAATAGTTAATATAGTTCAACATTTGGTGAGCACAGGTAAAGCCTGTACACGTTTGTCTGCAAGATTTAAAGAACACTGCCCCATGAATAATAATAACACAGTGATTTTTCCATAACACAGTGAGCCCTCTAATTCCTGGCTGCTACTACCTCTGATTTTTGTCTTTAGCTTTGGACACTCTGAGCACTGAGTTCCATAAAAGAAGATGCAGATATAAATTCATTCCCAACTGCCCCTAACTTTCTCTAAAATCACAGCTTTCTTCTTTACATTTTCCAGGACTTTATGCAGACCACTGCCTACTCAACTTTTGTACCTTCTGTGAATCTCATTCTTAGCTGTTTAAGCATTCACACTCTGTGGTAAGGACTCCTGAAACTTAACTTAGGGAAGGAGATTCTGATGAAAAGCACAGAGGCAGAAAAGTAAGCATCATAAAACTGTGACTTACATACAGTTACTCAAAGAAATACAGCTTCCTAACTCTTTGGACTAAACTAATGGGAATGATTCTCTATGCATAATTAAGCAAAGTACTCTTACATAAGTAGCTGTGATTGCAAGAAACAGAGATAGAAATGATCTGAAAGATGGCAAAGGAATGTATTGTCCTTCTGGAGCAATTTGTACTGCCTGTAAATATAACTTTAATATCAATGGTCTCAATAGGAGTATTTAAAAGAATTGGCAAAAAACAAACAAACAAAAACCAAAAACCATACGTCCTGATATGTCTCTTTTTAAACCTAATTTCATTTCTCAGGACGTGTAATTTATTGATTGGTCAGTGTAACTGGCCTTCTTTGGCTCCTGATAGTACTAGCTTACCATGGGAGAAAAAAAACACTGGTGCCATGTGTGGGTGATTGCAAAGGCTGTATAACCAAACCATTTTGCAGGTGCTTTAAGCATTTGAATAAATAATGAAGTGAAGCAATATTGCCTACACAACTTCTTAACTTCACACAGCTTTGCACCTTAGCTCAAGAAAAACAGCAGGCTAGTGGTACAGACCTGTGTATTAATGATATCCATAAAGAGTCTCATTCAGTCCCTAAATTTGTCTGTTATACACATATTTTTATTACTCTACAACATCAAGAAATGCAAATATTCCAGTGGGACTATCTGCTTCTTGGGAGTTTGCCTCTGAGTTTTACATCTCCTAATCCAGTATCCTCCCAGCAATTTAGCATTTAATAATAGGCAATCTGGTCATTTCTGATGTATTAAAGCAGAATGTAAGCATCTATGGATAGTTACCTGAAATTCTTCAACTGAAATGTCTCTCTTTCACACCAATTTTCACTGAGGATATAAGGTCCATCAACTTTTGATAGGCACTGACCCAATCATCTGATACAGTATACTTAATATTTGTCTAGGAAAGTGGCTTGAAAAAAGAATCATAGAATCATAGAATCACTCAGAGTGAAAAAGACCTTAAAGATCATCGAGTCCAACATGACCTAACCGTACTACCCTAACTAACAACCCTCTGCTAAATCGTGTCCCTGAACACCACATCCAAATGGATTTTAAACACATCCAGGGATGGTGACTCAACCACCTCCCCGGGGAGCCTGTTCCAGCGCTTGGAATCCAGCATCTAAACCTTTGTAGAAGAATCCCAAAATCTACAACAAGGTGTCTACAGTATGCTCTGTAGCTCACATTTATTTCCAAACGCTGTATAATAACTCCTCTTTATAATGCAAATAGAGTGGAGAAGTAAGGAGAAAAACTCTGGGGAAGGTATTTGAACAATATCTAAGGAAAACATTTCTGGAGAATGCAACAACATGGACTGTGGACTTTTTGAGGGGTCAATGAGAATCTCTAACTTTTAAGAATTATTGGAGAATTAACAAGAATTAGCAAATATACTGAGTCAAGGAAACAAGTTTTTGTTACTTTCATCATTCTTAGTAGGTTGTAAGAGTTATTAGTCCTCAACTGAGGCTAAAATGGCACTTGGCTTAGAAATTTCTAAAATATTTTTCACATGAAAATATATAAATTCGTATATTACTAAATTAATACTTACATAGAAAGATGAAAGGCTTAAAGGCTTTAAGTTAAACTCTTTCTTGTATTTAGCAAAATTTAACAAACAAATCATTATTAAAAAAAAAAAACACAGATTTTTATATGCTTTCCTGAATATTACATGCATCTAAGTGACTGCATTTCCTTTAGTGACTAAAAAATCATTATTTGTGTTTTTTTTTTCTTTTGCTTATTTTGATCAGAATGGAAGGTTTATGACAGTTAAATCAAACAAAATAAAAAATACATAATGGAGAAAATAATAGCAATTGGAGCTAACGTTATGTATGTATACAACAGTAAAAGCAGATTATTACACCATATTTAACACTACAAAGTGTTGTGTTCTCAATTGTGATGGAGAAAAATACTAAAATAATTTCCTATATTTTTTATTATGATATCTTAATGTTTTGCTGTTAAAGTATGTTTTTTTCCTTCTAAATTGTCCATTCCCCAAATATGTTTAAAATTTTACAGCCTGGTTTCTATAACAACTAATAAAAATGAGACACAGTATGAGAAGTATTTTCTCATAAACAAAGACGTTTTGACCCATATTTGGTGACCTTATGCCAGAAGATTTGCATGAAGGCAACTTCTTTAGAGCCAGCTATGATGATGTGAGGCTTTTCCCCAGCTCACAGATGAACTGTGACTCCCCTGAGGGACACCTCTATCAGGCTGGTGTCTCTCAGTCCTTGATTTGATGCATCATTTCCCCAAAGAGGAATGAAGACTGTATATTCTATGTCTAAAGTATGGCAGCAATCCCTGTTATACTGTAAATACCGATGTACTGTAATGCTCCCCTATTTTTCATTTTCCAGGAAACTGACTGAACGCTAAGTAAATCTCTGCTCTTGAACAGAAACTGAGTCTTACTTGTTCTTCTATAACCCAGTAGTTTCTATGCCTCCAGGAACTCAGTGGGAGTTGCTGACTCCACAGAGCTGATCAGTGGTATTTTGCTTCAGACAACACAGCAGTTCATACCTCCTACTGACTTAGGAATTATAGTACTACTTTTTTCCATCACTTAGCGTAGCTGTAGTTTATTCTGTACTCACAAAAGCTACTACATCAGATACATGACGGAAATGATACTATAATAACTGAGCCAAAAATAAACATCATGCAGAAAATCAGTTCTTTTTCATCATTATGGAGATGAGCACACTGATCTGTGTTTCTGAGGTCATTTTCAAAGAACTATACCATAATGCTTTAAAAATACTGTATTGTTCAGAGGTCCTTGACAGCTTATAACATTTATTAATAGAAGGACACCAATTCTTCTATTGCCTTTAGTACTGTGGAACAACAAAAACTTCTGCGAAAGTACTGTAATTTCTGCTAGTTAACTGATTTATACATAAAGCAGAAATCTCTTCCTTCTCAGTTTCTCTAGCATTAATTTTAACATTTTTTCTTTTGCATTTCCACTTTACACTGATAAAAAGGCATTAAATTAGGTAGCCCTATCTGAACTCTGCAAATGTCCTCACAACTTCCAATTACTGGCAGATACAAACTATCTATGCCGGATAAAAACAAGTACGAAATGCCAACATTGGCCAAAATCTAAGGCTGATGGTAGTTTTCAAAAAAAGCAGCTGACAACTGTTTTCAGCTCCGTCAGTGCATTTTCCTGTTTTTGTGGAAAATCAAGAGAACAGCCTATCTTATCCATTAGTGAAGTCATTCAGTTCCTTGCTATAAAGTGAAAAAGAATATGTGATTCTGGAAAGATTGTAGCCCACACAATTTAAGCAAACCAGAAAAACATCTTGCTTGGAGATTTACTGCTGAGTGCATGAAAGAATAAACACTTTTCTCAAGGAAGGCAAAAACGCATTCTGATGATTTACTGGGTTCGCAGAAGACAAAAATGTATCCTGTTACTCAAAAGGTCATTTGCTACATGCAGATGTGTTTTTATATGAATAAATACTGTACTTATGACACAAATTCAGTATAGTCAGAGTGGGCTAATTAAAAAAAAAAAAAGAAAAGAAAAGAAAAGTATTTTCTGTAGTTATAATTGAAACAGAAACGACTGCAAAGAGAACACGGCAAGTAATATCAGCATATTTTTATTTATATCTTCACAGTCCACTTGATTCAGTGAGACTACTGATGGAAGCCAAAGAGAAGGCTTGGGCTGGACACAGCTGGGCTGTAACGGGGGAAAGGCAGGCTGGTGGCAGATATTAGCACTGAGGTGACGGAGGACGACCAGACGACCATCACCTCTCCAGCAGCACCCTCATGCCTCAGCCGCACACCCCGCCCTCCGTTCCAGCCGGAGGAGGACCCGGCGCACGCCCTTCCACCGCGCATGCTCCGCCCGCCCCGGGCTCGGCCTGCCGAGGAATGTTGGGCTACCGGCGCCCCGTAGCTTCCCCGGCAACCGGCAGGAAGCGTGGCCGCGCGTGGGGCTGCCCGCCGCCGGGTCACGGGTGGGCCGGGCCGGGCGACGGGGGGATCGCGGAAAACGAGGAATTGCTGCTGCTCCCTTTCTCTGCCTCAGCTGCGCTCCGGAGAGGGCTCACACAGCGGGGTAAGTGAGCAGCTTCGCCTTTACACACTGCTTATTGCCAGTCTGTCTTTTGTACGTGGCTTCCAGAAACCAAACCCAGGCCTCCTTTTTTTTCTCTTTTGAAAGACGGTCTTTCAAATGTGCTTTTGCCTCGTTTCTGTTTATGGATTCCTGCCATTTGTGTGAAGTCTGTCACAGAATCACAGGGGTTTTTATTGAATTGTAGGGGTTGAAAGGGACCTCTAGAGATCATTGAGACCAACCCCCCTGCCAAAGCAGGTTCCCTACAGCAGGTCGCACAGGTAGGCGTCCAGATGAGTCTTGAATATCTCCAGAGAAGGAGACTCCACCACCTCCCTGGGCAGCCTGTTCCAGTGCTCCGTCACCCTCACCATAAAGAAGTTCTTGCACACATTTGTGTGGAACTTCCTATACTTATGCAGTTTATGTCCATTTCCCCTTGTCCTGTCTCCACGTACTGCTGAAAAGAGACTGGCCTCACCACTATGGCTCCCACACCTCAGATATTTATAAATCTGGATTAGATCCCCTCTCAGTCTTCTTTTCTCAAGGCTAAATAGACCCAGTTCACTCAGCCTTTCTTCATAGGAGAGATGCTCCAGGCCCTTCACCATTTTTGTGGCCCTCTGCTGGATTCTTTCCAAGAGGTCCCTGTCTTTTTTGTACTGGGGAGCCTAGTCCTCTGCCAGCAGGACTATTAACCTCGGTATCACACCTTTGGCAATAGCTGTGCACTTGGTTTGTACATATCCTTCATCACTTTCCTAACTCCCATCTTTACTTTTGTCCCAAAATATCTGCCGGTTGTCGCTTATTTTTTTTTATTGCATTTTCTGTGATGGTGTGAGCAGTGACTTGAAATGCATCTAGAATTGTTGTTACTTAAAACAGTATTTTAATTGCTCTGAACATATCTTAATTGCTTCTTGGAAGTGGAGAGAGTCTGGATGCTTCTGAACATGTGGTTCAACAAATCTGAGTGCAAGGCTTTGCACGCTACTGCTAATACAAGGATTGAGCGCAGTTCTGCTAAAAGGAACTTGGAGGTACTGGTGGATGTGAAGCTGGACACGAGCCAGCAATGTGCTGTCCAGAAAGCCAACCATATCCTGAGCTGCATCAAAAGCAGCATGGGTGATCCTGCCCATCTGCTCTGGGCTGGTGAGGACTCACCTGCAGTATTGTGTCCAAATGTGGAGTCCCTCAGTACAGGAGAGATGTGGAACTGTTCGAGCACGTCCAGAGGAGGGTAATAAAAATGCTCCAAGGGATGGAACACCTCTCCTATGAGGACTGGCTGAGAGACTGGGGGCTGTTCAGTCTGGAGAAGAGAAGGTTCCTTGGTGACCTGACAATAGCCTTTCTGTATCTACAGAGGAGCTGTAAGAAAGAAGGGGATGGACTCTTGAGCAGGATCTGTTGTGATATGATACAGGAAATCACACAGAATTGCACACAGAATGGCCAGGGTTGGAAGGGACCTCAAGGATTATGAATCTGTAACCCCCCTGCCACATGCAGGGCCATGAACCTCCCCATTTAATACTGCTCAGGCTTCTCAGGGCCCCATCCAACCTGCCTTTGAACACCTCCAGGGATGGGGCATCCACAACCTCTCTAGGCAGCCTATTTCAGCACCTCACCACTCTCTCTGTAAAAAGTTTCCCCCTGACGTCCAACCTAAATCTCTCCTCCCTCAACTTATAACCATTTCCCCTTGTCCTGCAGTTATCAATCCTTTCAAAGAGTTGATTCCTCTCCTTTTTGTAGGCTCCCTTTAGATATTGAAAGGCTGCAATGAGGTCACCCCACAGCCTTCTTTTCTCCAGGCTGAACAAGCCCAGCTCTCTCAGTCTGTCTTCATAGGGGAGGTGCTCCAGTCCCCTGATCATCTTTGTGGCCCTCCTCTGGACCCTCTCCAACAGCTCTCTGTCTTTTTTGTGCTGGGGGCACAGTACTCCAGATGGGGCCTCACAAGAGCAGAATAGAGGGGGACAATCCTGTCCCTGCTGGCCACCCATCTTTTGATGGAGCCCAGGATAGCATTTGCCTTCCGAGCCGCAAGGGCACACTGCTGGCTCATGTTAAGTTTTTAATTTATCAAGATCCCCAGGTCCTTCTCTGCCAGGCTGCTCTCAAGGACTGCTCCTTCCAGTCTGTATGGATGCCTGGGATTCCTCTGGCCCAAGTGCAAAACTCTGCACTTTGCCGTGTTGAACCTCATGAGGTTCACCCAGGCTCAGCTAGTGGCTCTAGCCTGTCAAAATGATTACCAGCTAGAAGAGGGTAGATTTAGATTGAATATAAGGAAGAATTTTTTTTACAGTAAGGATGATGAGGCACTGGAACAGGCTGCCCAGCGATGTGGTGGATGCCCTGTCCCTGGCGACATTCAAGATAAGGCTGGACCAGGTTCTGAGCATCTAATCTAGCTGTAGATTGTCTTTCACTGTAGGGGTATTGGACTACCTGACCTTTAAAGATCCCATGTATGTTTCTTGTGTGTTCTAAAGAGACTTCATTGCCTAATTGTGGCCTTTTTAAAAGATCTGTTGCCAAAGGCAGGCCATATTCTGAAAATGTTAGCAAAGTGAAGAAGAGCAGCACAGGATTAGGAGATAAAGAAGAATAAGGATTCCTTTATTCAGATTTTCTTCTTTGTTAATGTCAGTCTTTTGACCTGGAGATTGTAACCCTTGATATCCTGTCACGTAGGAATGCAATTCTATGTTTTTAATCTTTTTGTATTCTAGTTAGCAATGTTCTAAACATGTCATCAGGCACCCAGATAAAAGCAAAGGCTGCAGCACAGAAAAGCAAGACCTCCTCTCCTTTGCCATCTTCTCCAGAACCTGCGGTTAAGCCACAGCCAAAGCCCAGTGACAAGCTGAATCCCAAAACTATTGATCCAGTATGTATGGGTGTTGGGTCTTTTGTTTTATTTAAAATCATTATTTTGTTGGAAAAAAAAATTTCCATACTTGAAGATATGCATGCAGATAATTCTTCTGGTCCAATATGGATAATTTAAACTAAACTTTTGTTATTAATCACACATTGCTTAAATTACAACCTAAATCACATGCTGAAATGTTTGAGTAATAACATGTTTATTACTTCATTTTAAAAAGAAGTTTTGATACAACTATGGCTTTAGTGGCAACTTTTTTTTTCTTTCTATGTACCTAAACATGATTTAGGACCAAGAGTTAATGAGGTTTTCTATTGTTGTTTTTTTTTTTTTTTTTTTATATATAGTTGTAAATTTTGGTACCTGGTCCATTAGGGGAACAGATCAGAGTTATGGCTTTGATAACCCATGCCATGTTTTGCAATGAAACAAAGACTCTGGTAGTATCTTGAAAATCATCTAGATCTTGTGAACTCTTAACAAATTAATTGTTAGTGAAAAGTCAAATTGTGTGCAGAATTTTATTAGTGTTGGTGTAGCTTCAAACACTAGAAAGACAGAAATTAAGATTTCCTGGTATTTCATGCTATATAGTTTATGACAAGTTGTTTAATCTTGAATGTAGCATTGAGCTAATAAATTATGTCATATTTCAACCTGATAAGAACCATGATTTAAAAAAAAAAACACAAAAACTTTGTGTAGGCTTTCCTCACACTAAGCTCCCACTGATTTTCAGTGCCCATACGCCATCTGGCTCAATTTTTGATGTTTTTCTACATCTTGGCAACTTGTAAATTTCATGTATACTCAGATCAGGCTGGAGTTGGAGCAAAACAACCTCCTGCAAGTTAGCTGCTGTTGTTGAGTAACCCCACAGCTGTGTGTCAGCTCAAAAGCACACAGCTGCTCACTCTTCCCAAGTGGGGTGGGTGAAGGAATTGTAGAGGGTAAAAGTGCAAGAACTTGTGAGTTCTTGTAAACTTGTAAAGACTGTTTATTAGTTAAAACAAAAGCTGTGTGTGCAATCAAAGAAAAACAAGGAATTCATTTGCTGTTTCCTAAAGCATCAGCAGGCAGATCCTCAGCCACTTCCAGGGATGCAGAGCTCATTATGCATAATGATTTCTTGAGAAGACAAACACCAGCATTCCAAAGTCCCCTCCTTCTTTACCCCAGCTTTTATTGCCAAGCATGACACCATATGGTACAGGATGTTCTTTTGAGCAGTTTGAAGTCAACTATTGTGGCCATGTCCCCTTCTTGTGCACCCCCAGCAACTTGCTTAGCAGGGCAGGGTAAGAGGCTGAAGTCTATGGCTCTTTGTAAACACTGCCATGCAACAAGTAAAGCATCAGTGTACTATCATCAGTATATTTTCATCAAAAATCCAAAGCACTTAGTCATACCACCCTCTACAGAGAAAATTATCCTAGCCATGATACCTGCATATAGTGACCATTGGGAAAGTGAGATGTCCTTAATCTGTTAAGAGAAAACTCATAAGATTTCAGTCCTAAGATTTTCATGACAAAATAGGAAAATGGGAGCACTGCATCAGGAAAGCATGAATTCTACATTATTAGTTCATTTTTACAACTTTCTCTGAAGACAATTCTGTAAAGCCCTTTTTTTGATAAATGTACCAAATGTGTGTTTTCCATCCTATATCTGCAGATTTTTTTCAATTTATTTTTAGTCATACAACAAAGCTCCCTTCTCAATAATTTGCAGTTTTAACATATTCAAACTTATAAACAACACTTTTTTCTCTTCTTTTTTTGTGTCCTTGCAGTTTGCTGCTTCTTCTAGAACACCTTCTGCGTTTGCTGCTACGTATGCTAAAGGTGGCATTCCATGCAGGTATTTTAGTTCTGTTTGCTTCCTTTTTATTATATGTGTTAGGCTTAGGTAGAATTACACAGATTGATAAACATCTATTCACAGATTTATACTCTTTTATTTAGGCAGTTTAATTTCTTTTCAAAGAAAGTAGCAATTTTCCATATGTTTGATAATGGCTCCTTTTTGTTCTTTTTTGTGCAGTGTTAAAACTCTTTCATGAAAGATGCTGATTTCTTCATATAAAGGTGCTTTTCCTAATAACAAAGATAATAAAATTAGTGCCATTTTCTTAAGCAAACATCTTGCAGTCTTTTTGTCTGCAGTAAGTAATATGGGAACATCTTGTTTATTGCAACTCTGTAACTTTCAGCAATATTGGATATTAACAAAACTACATGTAAGTGTTTTATGGTATTTTGAATTCCCTTTTCTATTACATATTCACATACATAATAAGCACTTTTCTCTAGTGGTTTGTCAAGTGGATGCAGAATTAGTTAAATTAATAATTACTTATTAATCATGAGCACTACAAATATATATATATGTATGTATATATACATATGTTAAATAATTCATTTATACAGGATCAACTGAAGAATTCCAGTATAATTTTCTTTCAGTTTCAGCTGTTTTTTTCTTATCAGTTAGTATTTGAGGGAAATGTTTATTGACAGCTATTAAAATGAGTAGCTTTACAAAGGGAGCATCTTCTATGTCTGTATGAGATCTGTCTATAATTCTTATAACTTTTATTTTCTGATTTCTTTGTGGTAGGGATTAGAATTCTGAAAACTGCCATCTTGAAAACTGCAATAATTGCACTTCTAGGTGCTCTTACACATTTCATTACGGAGGGCAGTGTATGTTGAGGTTGTGTATACAATGGCATAATAGTCTTAAAAAACTAATGGCAATATTTCAATATGAGTAGTGTTAGAAATAAATTGTGTATTATTATATGTTAATTTGTTTCAACTTTAATTCTTTACATAGGTTAATGCATGGATCAGTAAAGCACAGATTGCACTGGGAGTGCCCTCTTGAAACAGTTTCTTTTGATCCTCTTCTTGTAACTCTAGCAGAGGTAAACTGTCTTCTTGGGAAAATAAGCATACAGTATTTATTCCATGTAGTGCTGAAATGTTATGTGAATGTAGTCAGCTACATTTTTACATCAGCTTCTGTTATTTAACTGCTGTTGTAGTTGGACGTCATGATTTATGATTTATTCTTTGAAACAAGGTGTAGTCAACTGAATGGGTTGTGGCAGTCGCCAGGATCCACAGGGGCCCCTTGGTCCTTGGGAAACCATGGCAACAAATGTCTTGAAGATGAGAGAGAAGAACAGGTTAGACCAAATGAGGAGGAAACAAGACATGCCACATGTCCATTGGTCAGAGATAACTGTAGTAGCCCTAAGGCATGGGAAAAGCTTTAAGAAGGGTGTGCTCCTTGCAACAAAGGCCATTTTGCCTCACCATATTGGTGTCATGAAAAGCATGCAAAACTGACCGGGGCTGTCAGAACACTTTCACAAGGGGACTTCAGTCAGGGTCACCAAAACAAAGGTGACAACAAGGGATGTGTAAAAATGTCTCAGAGCTACGTGTTCCTAAATAATGCCAGTCTACTTCTTCATGATTTAATTAAAATAATTCTGGGAGAAACTAAGGTACTGTCAGTCTCCAAACCTAATTTCAAACACAAAGTTAAATAAGAAAGTAAAAGCAAGCCCATTCCTTTCTGACCTAAGCATTTATCTGAGATATGGACACTCTGAGGAGAAAAAAAGTAGGATTTCAATTCTCAAATACACACAAAGTGTTCTTCTTTTTTTGATCATATGTTTTTCCAGTACATACCTTTCACATACATTAGTTTGGATGTCCAAAAAAGTCATCCAGGGACTGTGAAAACATGACTCTTGTAGATAAGACCAATCGTATAGTCACCATGTCTACATAGGACTAAATTCACTGTCTGGATTTACTTGGGACTAAGAAAGAGTAGATATGCTAGAGAGCACACAGGAGAGCTGTTGATTCTTTGTCTTGTATCTTTTGGAAGTATTGAAATTCACAGTTCAGTTGTCAGTTTAGCTGAATTCCAGTTCACTTTCAGTCAAAATACATTGTTGTCTTTTGTGTGACTTTGCAGTGATCTGTATGCATAAAATGGCTGAGCTGTCATAGGCTGTTTCTACTTAATTGGAGGTCCTGACAGCCTTCGCTGTGTAAAAAGAAGGGCTCACCTCCAAGCATCAACTGAAATCTATTGTGGGTACTATGAAGAGTAATTTAAAACCAGTGGAGCTATGTTAGATTTTTCTCTTACTTGTTTTCTGGTCATTGAAAAGACAGCTGGTGGGTTTCTGTGCTCTTTTTTCACTGCAAATGTTTCACTGTTTTTCTACCACTAAATACGAGGGGGGGAGGGGGAGGGGTAAAAAAAAATTCTTTACGTGAAAGATGTACAGACCTATGTACAGACCTACTTACAGTAACTTTTGCTTAAAAGTCCTTTTTACTTAGATAGAAGAGATAAAAAGCAGTTGTTCCTTTCTGACCACTGTAGTCCACAGACATTCCTCTGTACTATATTGTACTCCAGAGAGTTTTGCTTGTTTGTGTAGGTCATTGAAGGATGGTTTTTCCTCTTTTGACCACATGCTGCAATCTCTAAAACAGATATATGTGCTTCAGCAACAGATGTATCCTTTTTCTTGGAGTCACATGAGTCAAGTGTTGTGGAACTAGATGCTAGTGATGGGACTAGAGGGAATGGCCTCAAGTTGCACCAGGAGGATTCAGGCTGGACCAGGATGTACTGCTTTTTCTAAAGAGTGGTCAGGTGCTGGAGTGGGGCTCCACCAGGGAGGTGGTGGAGTCACTGGTGGTGGAAGTGTTAAAGGTATGTTTAGATGTTTACTGAGGGACGTGGTTTAGTGAGAACTAGTGGTGATAGGTGGATGATTGGACTGGGTGATCTTGCAGGTCTTTTCCAACCTTGTTGATTCTATGATTCTAATATGCATTTCAGTTACAAGATTTTAAGAACTGTTAACACCTGAAGAGGAGGAATGCTTTGGTATTTCCTTCTTTCATTGTAGTTGTCCATAATCCTAGCTTATGTAAAGATAAATGCAAAGAAAAGTAGTGTTTTAAATATTAAGAATGGATGACACTGTTATGATTTCTTTCATCAGAAACCTATGAAGAAATGGAAATCAAAATTGTTTTTATGCTTGTGTAGTATTACCTAAACCATCTTTGTCATCACATTCCAACAGCTTTATGTAGATGCTTTTCTGGCTCAGGCAGTGAGGTTGTCTCTTCCAAGATGCTTTTACCTCCTGTTATCACACAATCACAAAATGTTTGAGGTGGGAGGGGACCAATGGATCCATCTGTCCAACTGCTGCTCAAGCAGGGGCACTGAGAGCAAGTTGTTCCAGTGTTGCATCATCTATACAGTGAAGTGCTTCTACTGGTTTTCAAATAGAACCTCTTCTGTTCCAGTTTCTGCCTACTGCCTCTTACCCTGGCACTGGGTACCTGTGTACACTGAAAATAGTGTGGCTCTGTCTTCTTTTCCTCTGATGTTATATTCAATGTTAACACAGAGTGAATGTTTGACGCATGCTATTAACTGTAGCTAGAGTCACTTTGGGTCTTCTAAGAATCACTTAAGACACACATCTCCAACTTTTGGGCCCCATGTGGCCCAGCACAGCTTGCACTGTGGCCAGCCTCAGCCCTGTGCCATCACAGCAGTGGCTCTGCCCCATCTGTTGCCATCTGTCAAGCGTCAAAAAAGTGTAAGGGAATATTAGCTTAGTGGGAAGGTCCAGTTTCTACTGCCTTACCACCAACATCCACCTCTGACATTGTGGGCCAGCATAATAAGATAGGAGATATTTCTTTCAGAGCAGGCCTTGTAATATATTTACTGAGAGATTTTGGACTTACCTTCTCCTTCAAGCATTCTGAGCTATTTGGACTGACTTTGTTTTGTCTACATATGGATTTGGGAAGAAATATGGGCACATTTAACATTATTGAAACTTTCTCAACATTATTAAAGGCTAGAAACATAAACTTTAATATAGCATAGTATCTGTGTGTAAAAGCTCAGAGGCTAATCGCAGGAGATTGCATCTAAATCTGAAGCATATTCAATGTACTATAGATTATCATTGACAGATAGATAATCAGTTTTAAACCTTTTGTTGATCTTATTTTTTATAGTTACCTATATTGTGCTTCTTAAATCATCAGCATAGTTCGGCATAGAACTGTTACAACTGTACACTCATGCTTGCTACTCAGGCTTCAAATAGCTCTTGGAGATGGCTCTTCACAAAAGTGAGAACCTGCTGGATAGCAGGTTCCATATAATTTCCATATAATATAAATGCTAATTCTTTAGGACTTTATGTTAATAGTATACTATAGTATATAGGTACTGCTATATTATTTTGTATATGTGTGTTGTGAGTACTAGTTTGTATTCAGCAGTATAAAGCAGTGGCTTTTTTGAAGCTCTGTGCTCATCAAAAAGCTAGATTTTTTTTATCTGTTACATGAGTTAACCCTTTAAGTTGAGCTGGATGTGTTTGCACTTTTAGATTCATACTTGAGAGTCACGGAATTAGTCAGACTTTCTTACAGGTGGAAAGTTCAGCTAAGGTATTATTAGGGGTCTGATGATTTGCTGACAGTTACTTAGTTGCAGCAGTGATTTAATATTCATTATATATTCCTTGTTAAGCTATAAATTGGCACTTAGGACAAGGAAGGGAAGTGTTCCAAAATGTCAGTTTATAGGTAAGTATATCTTGCTCAGATAAGAGTAAAAATGAATACTTGTTCTGAAGGTTATCCACCAACTTCAACTATATGATTATTATTTTTAAGAAATCTAAATACTGACCATAAATCCACAGGGATTTCCTTTCCCTGAGTTACAGGGGTACAAAAACTACAAGGCACTTTCTAGCCCTTAAGGAAGTGGAGCTAGATAACTACTTCACGTGCTTAGTGAAAGTTGCCTTTAGTGTGCTATGAAAAAAAGGAACCATTGCATTTTACAATATAATTTGTTTAAGTTGCAAATACAATTTTAAAACCAGCTGAACTAGCCAGAATTTCTATATATATGGAAGAGCAACATGAAGATCGTGCGTGTGTTGATGATCCTTGAGGTCCCTTTCAGCCCAGAAAGACTGTCTTTCTAATGAAGACAGTCAAGAATACTGCCACTTCTAATTCTTTAGTCAAAGCATTTTGGAAGAGCTAGGTAGTTGTACCTAATCAGGGCAACAAAACTGGTGAGGGGTCTGGAGCACAAGTCTTACGAGGAGTGGCTGAGGGAGCTGGGATTGTTCAGTCTGGAGAAGAGGAGGCTCAGGGGAGACCTCATTGCACTCTATAACCTCCTGAAGGGAGGTTGTGGTGAAGAGGGATTTGGCCTCTTCTCCCAGGCAATGAGCAGGACACGGGGAAATGGCCACAAGTTGTATCACAGGAGGTTTAGATTAGACATAAGGAAGAACTTATTCTCTCAGAGAGTGGTCAGGCACTGGAATGGCTGCCCAGGGAGGTGGTGGAGTCGCCGTCCCTGGCAGTGTTCAAGAGGCGTCTGGATGACGTGCTGCGTGATATGGTTCAGTGCTTGTGGTGGCAATGGTGATAAGGAGACGGTTGGACTGGATGATCTTAGAGATCATTGCGATTCTATGATTCTGTGATTCTATGATTGAGCTACTGTCCACATACAAGACTGCACTGAACAAAATACTTTGATTCATTTGTGAGTTTGGAGGTTCTTGTATAAACAACTGACTATATTTTGGGTGTATAAAACCCACCTCTTAAATTAATAGTGCCCTTGCTAATAGATTGAATTAATACAGTGAAAATAGGATTCTTTAAATAAGTTAAAGAAAATAAACACTGTTTATAATGTTCACACTCCTATATTTCATCAGCATCATTTATAACCAAATATGTTTTGGAGTCTTAATAGAAGTTGAATATAGTGCGTTCTGTAGAGCGGGCTTTTATTTTCATAGAATCCTAGAATGGCCTGTGTTGAAAAGAACCTCAAAGATCATCTAGTCTCAAAGCCCCTGCCATGGGTAAGATTGCCAGTCAGTAGACCAGGCTGCCCACATCCAGCCTGGCCTTGAATGCCTCCAGAGCATTCAATTCCTTTGAAAGATTAAGCAAGCTGTCAGTACTTAAAGTAGCTTGCAGCTCCTGTAAAGGAAAGAAGAGAGACTTCCACCATACAACTTTAATCTTTGAGTTCTGCTGTTTAGGTCATCATGAATATTTGTACCATTCACCAGTTTTTGCAATTGCTGGAGGTGCTATCTTTCCTTCTATTGTTTACCTTCTATTTAATTTTCCCTCATGGTATGGAAGTTATTTACAAATATAACCTAATCTTCTGTTGATGGCCTTGATGAAAAATTCCTCTGGGTAGGTAGATTAAAGATAATGAAGTACAAATAGTGATTAAAATATCAACATTCATAACGTAGGTTTTAATATTCACTGTTTCAAAAGAAAGATAAGTATTTTGTGATCACAGTTGTACTCAGTGGATCCACATGGTGGAGTTAGTGTATTTTATGTTTTGAATTGATGTAGGAGAATCTAAACACTGTCGTTCCATTATGTGGAATTTTTAAAATGATGTTTTGTTTAAAAGAATATCTTTTAAGAGAATATGTTTTACATTTGCACCAGGGTCTGAGAGAGACAAAGCATCCCTATACATTTGTTTCAAAGGAGGGTTTTAAAGAATTACTTCTGGCTGAAGGTGCTACTGAAAAAGCCATTCCCCTGTTGCCTCGTCTAGTTCCTGTGTTAAAGGCTGCATTGGTATGTCTTATTCTTCTTGCAGAGATTTTCATAGATGCTTTTTTTATTTTATTTTTTTTTAGAATTAGAAGAATTATTTTTGTCTGTTCTTCCAGTCATTGTTATTAATTTGATAATGGGAGCAGTAGAGATGACAAAGCACTATAGTAGTAGGTAAGTGCGTGATGGTTGCTGGCAGATGACAAAGTTGGCAGGGCTAAATTCATTGAGCCAGAAAGTCATTGGTTCCTGTGTTCCTCTAACAAAGATTATTATTATTATGAATTAATTAAGAATTAGTCTCAGTTTGTTACATTTTCAACTAAAATGTTGGTTCCCAATTTTGATATATCCACATTTTTAAAAAGTTCTTCCTAATAAGCTGTGCAGCGCTGTATGTAAGATACATTTCTAAATTGAAATATTAGATATAGTTTTGCTTGCAGAATGTATTTATTTGCATATCGAGCATAAATTAGCAGCTTCCTTTTTTTTTTTTTTTTTAATTACATGCAATAATTTCGCAGACAAATTGTGGAGGCTTTCATTTTCTACTTTCTATAAAAAAAAAAAACAACCTCTGTGTTTAATTATTACATCTAGACAATATTCAGTTGTATTATATTTCTGCACTGTTTATAACATTATAAAAATAAGTGGCTTTCCAGTAGTTTTAGTTTATTAAAAGTACAATAACAAAAATGCAATCATAAAATAGAGATTGTGTTTTTGAAGAGTTTGTGCACTTGTCTGAATATTTGACAGGATTTGTTTTCCCTCCCTCAAAGGCCCATTCAGATGATGAAGTATTTGAAAGGGGATTAGATGCTTTAGTTCAACTGAGTGCTGTTGTTGGCCCATCTCTTAACGACCATCTTAAGCATCTGCTTACAAATGTAAGTTTTAATGTTGTAATAAGAGATTATATGTATTTATGGGGTACTTTTGTTGAGATGTTTACTGTAATATCTGCATAGATAACACTGGAGGACTCAGCAGTTCCATTAAATGCATTAGTTCATATATTTCTCTGTGCAAGTCCATCATTCTTTAAGAGTCTAGTGACTTCAAAAGTTCTAACTGTGCAAAACCTGTTGTTAATGTTGAGATTTTAATTATTGAATTAATATTTCATTTCATCATTAATATCAATTAATAATTGAATTGTTTCCTGTTTAAAAACAGATTCAGCTTTTTGAGCCTGAGGTGAAATAGATGCTATGTTTTGAAACAATATTTATGTTTATTGCTAAGTGAGTTTTGCACTTCAAATGTGAACGTTTTCAAAAATCTGTAAAAGTGCCAATAAATTATCACAGGAGAATATTTCTACTTCTTTCAGATGGCAATTCTGCACATGGAAGTTTTGTTCAGTAAACTTCAAGTTGAATTGGGGAATGTATTTTTATACTGAATCCTTTTGTAGACTTCCTCTGTAGACTTCCCTCCTCTATCAGACAGACATGGTTTAACGTAGCTTTCTTCCAAATAGAATTTTTACAGCAAATTAAAAGAAAGAGAGAATCTGCAATATTTTTTTGGAGTATTTTCACTATAGTAAATCCATTTTGGTACACATGAAAAGCATGTTAACTTTTCATGTGGATAGCACTTCAAGAATGACTTTGTATTGATTCCTCTTCCAAATTTGTTTGCTAAAAGAAAAAATTTTAAACTGTTTGGCTAATGGATGAGAAACTTCAATTCAAAGAAAGCTCAACAGTTAACGATTCACTCCTTCTGCCTTGACTGAGATCCATACTTTGACATCAGCTACAAGTTTTAAAATGATGTTTCTTTTGGCTCTCATTTCCCAAAGAAAAATGAATGGGTTACAGACCTCTTTATTTTACTTTTCCAATAGCTTTCAAGGAGATTAATGGACAAGAAATTTAGAGAAAAAATCACTGCTGCTTTACACAAGTTGGAGCAATATGGTGGAAAGGTGAGTTGACGACAGTACTGTGTAAACTGTACACTTGAATGCATCTTTGCCAAGACAACTTCCGTATCTGGCTATCAGATTAATAATGCAGTTCAGAGAAGTACTTATTTTAACATCACAGCTTTTAATATTGTATAAAACAGGACTTTTTAAAAATTAAACTGTGGCAATTCTAATCCACTGTAAACATAGTTGTTTCAGTCCTTTTGAGGTATTAAGTGATGATAGAAATGACCTTAAGTCTACACTGCATGAAGCATATTCCGCTGATTAGCGTCTGTTGTTTCCCATTTTTTATTTCTCTCTTTTATTTGTCTTCATCATTATTTTAATCTCAGAGCAGGAAACACAGGAGAGTGTTTCAGTAAAATATTCCAGGGGACTGATAGCTACATCAGAAACTGAATGGCCATACTCAAACAGTGCATCAATCCACATTCGAAAAACTCTTTTGTAGAGCCAGCATCCATCCATGTGGATCCCTACCAATGTTATTTGCTTGGAAGATTTTATTCTTCTTGGTGGGAAGTTTATGCATCCTTAGTAGTTAAATAAGTCACTCTCTGTTCTTTCTTTTGAATTCTTCACTTTTCTGGAAAGTCTTTTTTCCAGGGTTTAGAACGGGTGTGGCGTGGGTTAATATCCAGGATGCTTTATATGAATCCTTAGTCCAAATTAGGCACCGCAGCATTTATGAAGTAGATTTTCACACTGAGTTAAGCATAAGGGCTTCTTGAACAGACCATAGAGTAGGGTAGATACCCGTGAAGAGTGATCCATGTATTCACCAAATGTTAAATGCAAATTGCTCCTGGCTCCTTTTGACACCTGACTCAGGCTAAATATTTGCCTTCCTTCAGTGCACCCGGGATGAAGGCTATATGTTCCTTTTTCTGAGCCCAAGTGCTTTCCTCAGCACTCTTAGCCCTTGCTAAAAGAAACAATTTGCTGTTATTGATGATGCCTGCCCATTCTCTAATAGCTTAGTACTTAGGTCACTTACTAAGAAAATCAGATGCTCACATTTTAGCCCATCTTGATTAACTCAGAGGTTAAGATCCTCAGTTGCTACACATTTAAAAAAAAATCAAAAACTTAAATAGTAAAGTACAGAAAAGTATTATACTGTTAAACATTCTGTTCACAACTTTTTTTTTTTTCACAATTCATTGTTCATCGAGAAGGAGAGAAGAAAAAGTGAGAAAACATTGGCTTGGATGTTCATCTAGAATTGAAATTATTTGTTCAAATGACCCCATGAGCAGTTGCATGTATGATATTGAGTGACTGTTGATAAAGAACAGAAATAATGTGGAGGGTAAGGACCCTAAATGTAGGTCTTACCATTTCTGAGCCTTTTTTTTCTTAATAAGCAACCATAAAATCAATAGGCAGCCACTCTTTTTTAGGGATACTCATACTCATTTAAGGGCGATAGGAGTGTTCATATTGCAGACTGTATGATCATCACAGACCAGTGTGAAAGTTCCTGATTTGTGTTCAGTGAGATAAGGGGAGGAGAATTGCACTTCGTTTTGATGTTCTGAGAATTTAAGTCTAGAGAATAGAGCTGATCCAATAAATCATTAAGCCACCTCTAATTATTATCTCTGTCCAGTAATTTATTGTTGCCAATCAGATTACTGTGTGGTCTTTCTGCACATTTTTTAAAATTCTTAGAGAGAAAAAGACAAAAAAGCTGGAAAGACGCACCTAAGTTGTGATCATAGTCAATGACATTACATAGTACAGCTAATGAATCTATCTGCTATTAGAAAAATGAGTTACAGTGTATATGATCAGTACTTTTATTGGAAATCTCTTCCAGAATATCACTCTTCTTTGTTAGTTATCACAATGCTGCTGTTTTATCAGTCTACTATTTTCAACTCTTTTGAAAATAAATTTCTTCGTAAATAATGCATTTTAATTTTCTACCATTTTGTTTCATAGCAGTAAAGACAACTAAAAGTTTTGAATTATACAGTTTATAGACATGATGTGAATACTCTCAAATGTAGTGCTAGTGCACCTTACTTTGTTTAAATGCATTATATTTTCATCACCAGGCAACGGTGACTATCATCAAATCTAAAATTCCAACCTATTGTTCTGTATTCCCCTGAAGAAAAAATCCATGGTGATTTGTGAGTTCAAGTCTGAAGATAAACTGCCTGTGAACATCACTTTGTGGTATGTTATATTCTCTTAAATTAATCACAGTTCTTTTTCAGTATAATGGAGAGTGGGGAAAGTCCCATAAGTTTGTGAACATATGATTATGAACGACTCTATTAATTCTCTATTGGCTGCTATTTATGTATGCATTGTGCTTACAAAGACACTGGATATTATTTCAAAAGCAGAGTAAATATAAATTTATATTTTGTTATAAATTACAATTTCCATTAATAGATCTGAATAATATGTTTTGTATATTTGTGGAACACAAAATAATTTGGCTTCAATTACTTAAATGGAAATTAACTTTGTGTTAAATTACATACGCTTTTGAAACATTTAACTTATTCTGTGCCATAGGCACACGTGGATGCTGTTCTGGTTCACCAGGACTTAGTGGATTAGACACAGAATTCTAAGAGCCCACCTAGACATTCTGAGAGTCAGCTTTTGAAGGTATGAAGATGAACATACCATACACGTAGCGAACAGGGAACGATCAGGGTCTGCCCAGCACATTGTTGTCAGAAGCCGGAGCAGCATTTGTCCATTATTGTAATTGAGTTTGATTGCAAAATGTCGTTCAGCGGGTCTTGTTAAATAATATTTGATCATGTGAAAACGATTTCAGAATATTAAGAAGATTATTGCTGGCTGACTAAATTAAATTTACTTCAGAACAGTTCTAAGTCAATATATATGTATTTATGCTTTTTAAAATAAGTAAGTTTTGTTGGCAGAAATCTTTTATCTGAAGAAATAACTACTTCTTTAACAACACACAAAAAAATGCTCATGCTGTTTGTTTTTCTTTGTTTACTTTATTTCTTATATTATTTTTTTACAAAATGTGCACACTTAGTTTACACAAACACTCTACAGCAAATTTCAGGTGTACATGTATTGTACTACTCTTATCCTACACTGGTGATAGCAGAGCAGCCTCAGCATGCCTCTAACATCCCACCTCTACACCAGAATAGATACCTGATTTTTTTCTTGCAAAAGAATGTTTACAACATTCTTTCTACATCATTAATCCCATTTCACCTTTTTTGCAGCAATGTCACAATGAAGATCGGCCTATCTCTGAAAGCATTTCACCTATTGGGAGGAATTGGCATGAAACTCTGGACAATATATCTTAAAAATTACATGTATTGGAAGGGGCATAAGTATATTTTAGGTACATATATTTTTATCTAGGTTCATATTTAGGTTTCTCAAATCTCAATGAAGAAATTATCCTAAAAAATTTAATGCAGTTATCACATGTATATAATATTGTATAGTTGAAGCTTCATTGTTTCATCCTGAATCTTAAAGATACTACAAAAATGCTGACACAGATGTTAGCTCGTCTAGTAGTCATTAGTAGATGTTACTGCCTAGTGATATTTATTCTGTGCACTGAAAAGGGATGAAAATTTTAAAACAACTTCTTTTTTTTTTAACTTTATTAAAGGCAACAAGACACTTACTCATGAAAACAGTGTTAGGAGCTAGTTAAGTTTTCTTCATTAAAAAATTCAAATTCAGAAGATTCTTAATTTAGAAGTACAGTAGGTAGAATATCTTGATGTTTTTGTCATGATCAATTAAATGGAGATTTACTAGATAAGCATGCTTGATAGAAGCTTACCAGTATTTGTTAGGGAACAGAACTACTGAAGCAGTCATAATTTCAATGTGTTTTTTGTTTAACACTTCTTCCTCTCACGTTACCTATTTTACTAGGTTTGGGAGGTGTTTCTGAAGAGGACAGAAGCACGTCAAATGTGAAAGGCAATTGCTGCAAGCTGTGCACTGGACATCAGTGATAGCACTTTAACTAGAAGTATTAATTAAAAATATGAGGACTACACCATACAAACATGAAAAGAAAATACATGGTAATGTCTCTGTGTAAATTAGAAGCTGAGACTTAATAAGTATGCTCAAACACCCCAAGCTGAATCCAGTACAAATATGTAGCAAAACTAAGAGTATTTAATTTCCTTGTTTGATTAAAACTATATTATCTAAGGTTTGGAATGATAATAAAAACGCATGTCAGGTTCTGTTTTGAGGGGTCTGAAATAAAACACTGACTTTTCAGAACAATCTTGCTAAGTAGCCACTGCTGAAGTACTAAAATGTATAATTTTGGAAGATTTAGGGAGAAAACTTTAATTAAAAAAAAAAAAAAAGACTTATTTGCATATTGCATGTCTCAGTATAAAGCTGAGTAACTTTATTTATGGTAAAGTGGGAAACCCATCTTTTAGATTATGTTGCAGAATTGCTTATATTTGTCCATTAGTAGTTGACCTAATGCCTCCATTAAATCACATTTTCAAAGAGCTGCATGGACCGCATTATATTCTCATCCTGTGAAAAACAAACACACAAAGCAAACATGAAAATCATACACCATCACAAATAGAGCTGGCAAATATCAAATAGTGAAATTAAGTGGGACAAACTGTACACATGTAATGACAATACCTGTTTTTCAGTTTATTTGGAGAAATTGTTAGCAGAAAAAAGAGTGTTTAACAGGTATACTCCTAATGTTGGAATTTCAGAGATTGGAAGGGACCTCAGGAGATCACTGAGTCCACCCTTGCTGCTAAAGCAGGTACCCTACACTGGATTGCACAGGTAGAAGTCCAACTGGGACTTGAATGAAGAACACTCCACAACCTCTCAGGGTAATCTCTTCCAATGTTCTATTACCATGAGAAAGTTCTTCTGCCTGTTAGTAAGAAACTTCCTGTCACAGTTTTACGATTTTTGGTTGTCAGTATTCCACATTATAACATCATGTAGTGCACTGGGCATTAAAGTGTTAATGCTCCAGTTCCAGGCACCTGTCCAGAAGAGAAGAACTACATACCCCAGAACACTTTATCTTCAGAGAGGAGATATAACCCTGGCACGGTCACCTTATGTCCCTTTGTTTTTTTCAGCTCTCCTCTCTCTTGCTCAACCTGACTGCACATCTCACCTCAACGTTATGGTGAGGCCTTTCCACCTTTTGGACACTCTCTCTCATTATATTTGTTTCAATTCTAGTTATATTGTATATTGTGTGTTATCTTGCATTCTGATACCATATTTAGTAAATCAGTTTGTTTCTCCTCAGATCATTGCTGCTGTTTATAATTATTCGGGTTCCCCTGTTTCCCCTTTCCAGAGGCGCAGATCTGTGGGTCCCTCTGCCCCCGCTAGTCACAGAATTGGGCTGAGCCAGCCTGTAAATCGTTGACACTTCCTGTGTTCAGGTTTTAGGCCTTTTTTCCTTGTTGTATTGCTGCACACCACTGAGAAGAGCCTGGCTCATCCATTTGGCTCCCCACCTTCCTTTTGATACTTACAAACATTCATCACATCCTTCTTAGTCTTCTTTTCCTCAGGCCAAACAGACCCAGATCAATAAGCCTTTCCTCATACGGGAGATGCTCCAGGCCCTTTATCATCTTTGTGGTCCTTTGCTGGACTCCTAGGACATGTCTTTTTTGAACTGGGAAGTCCAGAACTGGACACAGTATTCAAAATGTGGCCTCATGAGGGTAGAGGGGGAGGACAATTTATAAATTGCTGGTCTTCACTGCAGTGATTTTTTTTTTTTTTTTTTCTGGCTTCAGAGCAGGTACGACTGCACTGGGCAAGGGATCTGGAATAAAAAGGGCCAATAAAAGAGCTCTTTTTAAGGCTTTTTTTGTAGTCAGCAACAGTGCTGTGCTTTTGCTGGGGAGTTGGCAGCTTGTGGGCAGGCTCCTGAGTCAGTAGGAGTGGAGCTAGTTTGTTTAGTGGCACAGTTTAAAGACCCTATGAACTGTCATCCCCTGCCCTTGATGTTTGCACCTGATAATAAGCTTTAAATAGCACACAGAGCACCCTGGGTGAGTAACACTGTCACTGCCCACTGAGAATGGGGAGGTTCAGTGAGAGAGCACAGCTGCCCCTATGGTGCTTGCAGCTGTGGGAGGTGGGTCAAGTGGTGAGGACTAAGTATTGTCCCTCCTTGCTCAGGAGACTGGTTTTTCTCTTGGCATGGTCTCCACCAGACAACAGGTAGCTGTTCAAGTCTCCAGCTGCAGGGAGTGCTTGAGGAGGATGGCAGAGATTCCATCTGTATGAGTTGTGAGCAGTGAATGAGCTGCTCAGCCTGGTGGTGGAACTCAAGGAGGAGGTGCAGACACTAAGGACCATCAGAGAGTGTGAGCAGAAGATGACTGACTGGTGGAGTGAGTTGCTGGCATGCCAGAGAGAAGGGTGCCAGGGAAGCACCCCCAGAAAGGTAGTTGACCCCCTGCCCGGTCACAGTTGGACAGACTTGATGGATGAGGAGGGGTGGAACAGAATCCTGACTCAGCATCAAAAGAGCTTCCCCCTTCCCCCCTCCACCTAGCTAGCCACTTCCCCAGCTCCCTCTAATCAGGTTTAGATGCTAGAAATTGAAAGAGGTGAGTGGTGAGGCGATGGAGAATCTGCCTAGGAGGGAGCTTAAGGCAAGACGATCACCTCCCTGTCTTATGACTGCTCCTGTCAGGAAAGAAAGAAAGGTGGTCATGATGGGCAAATCCCTTCTCAGAGGAATGGACGGCCCTGTATGCAGGCTGGACCTGAGCCATCAGGAAGTGTGCTGCCTTCCTGGTGCCTGGATCAGGGACATAACCAGAAAACTGCCAAAGCTGGTTAAGTCCACTGATTATTTTCCATTACTCATAGTTCAGGTGGGCAGTGATGAAATTGCTCAGAGAAGCCTACAAACTACGAAAAGAGCTTTCAAGGATTTAGGGTGTTCAGTTCAAAGAGTGGGAGCTCAAGTGATCTTTTGTTCTTTACCTTCAGGAGCAGAGAAGGACATTGAAAGTACAAGCAATGAATAATTGGCTCAGAGGCTGGTGTCAAAGCAAAAACTTTGGGTTCTTTGATCAAGAAGCAGTTTACTCAGCCCCAGGCCTGTTGTCCGTCCATGGAACACACCTATATAGGGGGCAATGTATCCTAGTGCAGGAGTTAGCAGAGCTTATCAAAAGAGCTTTAAACAAGCTACGACAGGGAAGGGGACAAAACAGGGCTCACAAGAGATGAGCCTAGAGGAACGATGCTTGAACTGGGAGTGAGGCAGATGACTACACCAATGCACACAGCATGGGTGACAAGCAGGAGGAGCTGGAAGCAACTGACCATCAGCCCTAGCTGCTATTACGAAAACATGGTAGGACCACTCTCATGACTAGAGTGCTATGATGGATGGCTATAAGTTCTTCAGAAGGGATAGACAAGGAATAAAGTGTGGTAGCGTGGCCCTTTATATTAAAGACTGTTTTGATATTAAAGAGCTTGGGGTTGGGATTGATAAAATTGAGTGTCTATGGGTAAGGATTGGGGGAAGGTCTGTAGAGGCGACACCAAGCAGCCAAAGGACAGAGGAGAAAGAACTGGATAGGATTGAGAGGAAACACTTCTGCTGTCCCTACTTTTTCCATGAGGAAAGATAGGTTCTTATACTTGGTGCCTAAACAAGACCATACTCAATGAAGACTGAATACTCTGTAGTTCCTTACATAATGTCCTAATATTTACTTTGTGAAGGCAGAGGCCATCCTATGCACAGGGACTATGAATTCAGAGTCCTGAACTAGATATATTCCTTAGACCGTATAATGCTACCATAATGATAGTTGCACCAAACAAGTACTCAGCACAAAGACGGGATTTTGAAAGAGACAGTTATGTCTGTGTTTAAGAACACAGAGGCCCTTGATGCTACAACCAACTAACCAACTAAATAAATAAATCACAGCAATTGAAAGTGGAGCTTCTCTAAATATGCCCTGCTGTGTTAGTTCTTGCTTTTAAAGCATGCCACACTATAAGATCCACACTAGAAGTGATCTTAGCTTTAGAGTTTGGTTGAGAGTGTTCTGCAGCACTTGTTTTCTTGCACTGTTTTGACTCTCATTTTGCAGCTTGGAACAGAATGTAGAGAATTGTGAACATTTCCTGTGTGCCTCTAGCATATTTTTATGTGCACCAGATGCAGCTCTTGCTGCCATATTGATAAATGGGCATTCCCATTCCAAGGCTTGAGGTAGAATCATTTGTTATGCGAAACCAGCAGGGAATGTTTTAAGCAGACTTGCTCTAATATCAGCTTGTATACCAAAGGATGGCTTGTAGATGAGGAAACAAAGACAGACATCAAAGTCTAGGGAACTACAAGCATGCTGTAACCCTGTCCTGACTCAGCAACAAAAGATTCTGGTAAGAAAAAGATAACAGTAGAACTAGCAGTACCCTATGTAGAGTGCCAAGGATAGCTTAAAGTGTGGGTTGGTTTCCTCAGAAAAATTGAACTAAAATGAGTATTTTGCAGCTTGGAAAAAAGATATTAAAAGAAGGGTTATTATGATGATACATGCTATTTTTCCACAGCACAAGAGCATGCAGAAGGACTATTAAAAAAGACTATAAAACACTGCATGCCAGAATCAAAACAGATGAGTTTACTATAGAAAGGATTACAGAATTATTCAGTTTTGTTTTAGGCATTGTTATATACTCATGAAGGATGATACTTCACACTCTGGAGTGATGCAAATCACTGCATAGTGAGAAAAGAAAGTAAATTTAACATTCTCTTTCTAGATCAGTCTCACACCTACTAATTTATTAATAAAACAATTTCCTACAGTGTATTTTAAAAGGAAGAGGCCACTGCTGTCCTCTGGAACAAGTGTAATCCTGAAAGAGTTAAAGCCACATTAACAGACCACAGCTCTTGAAGAAATTTTCTTGAAGGACTCAGGTTGAACTAAAAACCCAAATCTCATTTCTGAAACTAAATCCTGACAGAAATAGGAATTAAACACTTTGCAGCTCAGAGCTGTTAATAAAAGAAAGGTCTTAGTAAGTCTAAAGACAAAAAAAAAAAAAAAAAAAAAAAGTGGGCATATATTTTGTATGTCATCATTTGGATTCCACATCAAGCAAAGCAGCAAGACAGCCTGCTCTCTAAGATGAGAGAATGGTGTCTGTCACGTTGTGAGAGAGATGCCTTATGAATCACTTATTTTGAATACTTAGAAGAGCAAAATAAGAAATCTACTAACAGAAGTGAGAAACTGAATCACTTTGGCAAAGGAGAACAGGCAACTCTTTACTGAAGGTACTAATTTTCTTTGTAAATGAAGCAATCCGCCTATTACTATTATCACTATATTCTGGTAAGTCTTTCACGTAACTTCTAGAACTCTGTAGACCTCAGCTGGGAGATGAACTTCTGTTTCAGATGATCAGTGTTAGCAGTATTAGCAGAGCAAATACCTGTCATTCATATTGAGTAAGACTGACCAGCTAGAACCACCGTCACTGTGATACAACACTGCTGACAAATAGGACGCTACCCAGTACCCATTGCTAAGGACACACCAAATTAGAGCTGTGGTGTGTTGTTTTTTTTTTTTTTTTCCTTCTATATACCCTTAAGTCAAAAGAGTCAGTAAATGACCACTGCGTGGTTGCGACCTCTCTGTATTTTGCTACTTTTAAATCACAAGAGCAATCCCAAGGATATATAAAACAATACACAAATTCTAGCACGTCTGTGCTATTTCCAGTTCTGATTTCCATATTCCATATCACTATACATTTATCACTAACTGCGCTGTTCTTTCCTGTCCCTCATTCTACTGTTCACTTCTTGGTGTCAGAATACAATGCACACAGTCCATACTCTTGATCTCTTGACAGCTTCACACTAATCAGCCATCCTGGGAAGGCTAACATTGCATCCAAACACAACTACAATTCCTTATATTTTTCACTGCAACAAATAGCATAGGTTTTGTTTTGCCTTATCAATTTGTATAATGTAATCAAGCCCACCTTACCACGAGGTGTAATGCAACATTTTGCAGTATGTAACAACATAACCTCTTATCGCACCAACAGTCAGTACCATTATTTTGTATTTTCTTTTTCTTGCATTCTTCACCTTATGCATTAATGGTATCTCCTTAAAATTCTGAAAATTCATCCTTCCTCACATTGTCTCTGGTGTGAAAGCAAGTCAGTTTCCAAGGGCAGAGGAGTGAAAACAGGCTGTAGTTCTTGCTGTATGTTTACTCTCAATCCTGGCTCAAAATGCAGGGAGCTGCTTTCAACAGTTGAAGGAAATTAATGGCCACCTGGACAATGTAAACACTTGTAACTACTAATCACAATCTGTTCTTACTGGCTTGCCTTGGAAAAACAAACAAACAAACAACAACACAAAACTTGCCTGCTTTTAACTCCTGCCATTCAACGATTTGCAAGCTGCTTCCACTCTCCCTAAAACATACAGCTCAGGAAACACTCCTATATGTGACAGTTTTTCAAGTAATATATGGCTGTGACTTTATGCTGATTTTATCAGGAGCATTACCCAGAACACATAAATATTTAACTGAATGCAAAAAAACTTTTCGCTGTTAACTATGAATGAAATGCTATTCTGCACATGCTATCTGCACATGAAATGCTATTCTGTCACCTCAAAAAATAAAATAAAATCAGTGTATGATAGCAGTAGCCAGCTGATATGGATTCAATACATCACGGGTTGCTTACCTTCTGGCAGCTCTCAATGAATTCATCTATGGTAACTACTCCATCTTTGTTTTTATCCATTTTCTGTTCAGAAAGAACAGAAATGTATGATTACACTCCTGAAATCTACTTTAAAAGTCATTTTTAGCATTTATTTCATTTACACGTTGGCCTAGGAAACAACTAGGCCAAAATGCTATAATAATGTAGAAAATAATACACTAGCTTGAAAAGCTTGCTCAAACGGCAACGTAGGGCGAGTAGATCTGAGAGACAAGTGCCTTGGGATGAACCATGGAGAAGAATAACACAATCGATAGGATATGCAAAACTATTACAACAATGCAAAAAAAAAAAAATCCTTCTACAGCTACAAATGGAGCAGCTTTTTGGTTCCCTTTGTTACCTGACCCACCTGGAAAAATGTTTCCACATGTTGTCTAGGTGTGTCCTCCTTGAGAACAGGATAAGTGCATTTCCCCATCATATCATATATTGCTTTCATGATATCAAGCATTTCCTGAAGAGAAAAAAAAAAAAAAAAAAAGTGCAATTCAGGGTGCATTATATATTGTGCTTTGATTCAGAAAACATAGTTTCTATTATCAGCATTTTAGAGAAAAAAATTACATTGTTATTTAGTGATTGAACAGCTTCAAGAATGTACTGAGTATCGCTAGGAATTCTAGCACATTGGTTTGGCTTTCATTACTTGTTCAGCACATGCAGATGAATGTTTCTGATTTTAAATACTTTAAGTGATTCAGAATACGTGCACATTCACTGTGGGAAGAGTCTCTTAAAATCTAACGCATAAGTAAATGGAAAAAGAATTCTATAGCAGCAGGTTAACACACAAGACCTTCATACAACTGAGTTTTCAAGAGAAAAAAGAAATACCCACATGCAAACTCGCACACTCGCAATGAGTTTTCCATTTTTATCAAAAGCTTTGGATTTGGTTAATAGCAGGAATCACAAAAAAATGTAAGAGTAACTATAGATGCAAGTCATCTGCTGTACTCTATACATACATGTTTCTGTACATACATAAGTTTATGATAATTATTTTTCAATTTTGGTATATGCCTTAAAATGCAAAAAAAAAAAAAAAAAAAAAAAAAAAAAAAGCACATTTAGTTTTATAATATGCTATACATTATTCCTTGACAGGTCTGATTTGACAGTGGTTCTTCTGACCCCATTCTTCTTTCAAAGCAAGACTTCTGTATACAACCTTCAGTTTCAGTATTAGTATAAAAAGTAGACCTTACCTCTTTAGTTATGTATCCATCCTTATTTATATCATACAAATTAAAAGCCCAGTTCAGTTTCTCCTGTACTGTCCCTCGGAGTAAAATTGAGAGACCCATAACAAAATCCTAAATGGACAAATGATCTTGGTAAGTTTGGAATGGAGCAGTATTTCACAAACACTCAGAAATGCAGACAAATACATCAGAATCACAGAAATCTTGAGAAGTGTGTTATTTTTTTCACTTGACAGAGAAAATGTTAAGAACTGCTGGTTATTTAAAAAAAAATTAAAAGTCTAGGCACTGTATACTACACCAGTAATTAACAAGTAAATTGAGCAATTTTCTATAAAATAAGCCACTGTTTTCTGTTAGTGGATTCATCCTCTGAAATGCCTCACGTAAGAAGTCTTTGTTGAACTAATTCCAAGTAAAAGCAAACCCCATGGTGTAATGACTCAGAACAAAGCTTAAGCAGGAGTTAGATTAATCTGAGCACAGGAGACCAATTTTGGATTAGCTATCCTCTGAGAACATTACATTCTTGTTATATGTATACCTCAATGGAGGTAGAATATATAGTTCTCAGAACTCTTAGTTGGATCTTGTGCAGTCAGCATTAAAAACTAAATATATGTTACCTCGACACTTAAATCTTTCACTGGAAATCCAATAGGGAATGGCAGTTATTTTGCATTCATGTGCCATCTCAGTGGTCCTGTTATCCACCAATACTCTACTGCTTTACATCTACTCCACAGAAGTAAAAAAAAAAAACTCCTGAAATTATATACATGTCATGTTTGGCTACGGATAACTGACAAATTAACATCAGTGAGGATCATTCAGACCATGCCCTTGATCAGCAGACAAGCAATTCTGAGTACCGATATACTTACATAACTCCAGGGCTAGAATGAGATTTTTACTGCACAGTTGTAATGCTAAAATATGATAGAAAGTACAGCAATAATAACAGAGAGGTACAACCTGAGGCTACAGCAAATGAGAACAAGCCCCATAGATGCAGAAACAAAGGAAGAAAAACTGCTCAACTTTAGAAGGCCCCAGGTAGGCAGTGATCTCCAGAGAGATACCCTCACTTCCACTGCCAGCCCTTAAATGAGGTCTGGGAGTGGATTCTGACTCCTCCTCTATTTGCACCTGAGCTGCCATGGGTTGGGCCTGCATTCTCACCAGGTGCTCAATCACTGTTCAGGCTGTGAGAGCATTTCTACTACAACAGTTAATGTTCTTTCCATAACACAAAGCTTATTTACATTGCATGAACATCGTCCATACTAGAGAAGATAGTAGTCAAGCTGCACTGTCATCTGTCTTCTGCATTTCTTAGCTCATTAACTGCATTTTTTTAAAACAGTGACTTTTTTTTCCTAAACTTTTCCTCCACTTATTTCTATTTGATAAGCTTGTATACCCATACATCTGTGAAATCATCCCTATAATGTGTTAAGCACAATAATTCAATAGCTTATATTTAAATGTGCATTTTTATGTTATTGTTAAAGAAATACAGGAATTCTTTAGAGTAACACTAAAGCAGAGACTACAGAAGCTGAATGATTCTGTATTGCCTTTGGCTAAGCGTGCATTTCCTTATAACAGGAACAATAGAAAAGAATGTGTACCCAGCAGAGTAAAGCAAACAGGACATCACAGCCTCAGATGATCTGTTAAGCAGAGCTCTTTTGACAGTTTCAGTCTTTAACAATTCCAGTAGTATGCTCTGGGTTTTCTTAGTCTGTCATAAATTTCTGTGTTACTAGTACATGTGCCCTTTGGGGTAAATTAATACACGAGTCTTGAAAAGAGTTTTGCTCAACTTATCTTGTCTACATCTCAATGACTAATTGAGGGTCATAGAGTCAAATCTCCAAACAGCTCTTTAACAGCGTGCTATAAAGTATTAAAATGTCTGAGAAATTTAGAACAGATTTGATCACATTACAGCATTAGCAATTAGCCTTTTTGATTCAGTACTATTCATATTTTTCTGCACTATTTTACTTCCTTTCTGATGCCAGGTTTCTTGAATTCTTCTGCAGAGGTCTCCAATAACTTTATTTTCTTAAAATAATATGTTTAACAACTCTTGACATCAGCAACATCTGGGTCTGTTCAGCCTTGAGAAAAGAAGACTGAGAGGGGTCCTGATCCAGGTCTATAATATCTAAGGTTTGGGGGACAGAATGGCGAGGACGGACTTTTTCCAGTGGTGAGTGGAGACAGGACAAGGGGAAACGGCCAGAAACTGCAGCCTAGGAAGTTCCGCACAAATGTGCAAAAGAACTTCTTCACAGTGAGGTGACGGAGCACTGGAACAGGCTGCCCAGGGAGGTGGTGGAGTCTCCTTCTCTGGAGATGTTCAAGACCTGCCTGGATGCCTACCTGTGCGACCTGTAGGGAACCTGCTTTGGCAGGGGGGTTGGACTCGATGATCTCTGGAGGTCCCTTCCAACCCCTACAATTCTGTGATTCTGTGATTCTGTGATTTATTCCAATGCTTAGAATGGTGAGGCACTGGAACAGGCTGCCCAGAGAAGTAACGGCCGCCCCATTCCTGGTGGTTGAAGGGGCCCTGGGCAGCCTGATATACTGAGTGGAACCCCTGCCCATGGCAAGGAAGTTGGAACTAGTTTGACTTTAAGCCAGCCCAAGCCATTTGATGATTCTTAAATAATATCTACTTTCCTTTTCCTTATTATTTCTCTTTCTTCCTTTCTTTGAGGCACCCACTCATACGCTAGTAGTCTTCCTGACAACTCATAATCTTCCAGGTGTATGCTCTAAGCTTTGCAAGACTGGGTCACCTCCTTCCCTATTGCATCAGTGCATTTGGGAATCATACCCAGATCAATCCAGGCACACTGCCTTTGTCTGAGAGTTCTCTGGAGTTCTCCGGTTCAGGAACTATAAAAAGGATTTACCACGAAAGAAGGTTATGATGAGCTGCATAAGGATCATTTAGGACAGGATATATTTTCTACATATTTAATTTCATAAAATTTAAGAAAATAATAGTAAAACCATTTAGAAATAGAACATTAGATTCAGTGGTCATAGACTGAATCCACACAATGTTTTGGGCTAGATCTTCAAACAGTGAAAGTCTCTGGATGGTGGAAGGAGTGGTGCATGCCAGGAGTGGTGCAGCTATGGTGTTAAGCTAGTGATGCAATACAGAATGCTACAATGGAGCAATAGTAGGGCAGCAAATAAACTCAGATGGAGTCTGCCATGGAAGCACACCAAGTGTGGGTTCTTTGATATTTGCCTTTATTCCTTTTCACAGCTCTTTATTTCCAATCCTCTGGCTCCCTACTGAGCCTCCCAGTTACCTGTGAAGACTTTGATTAAAGGGGTCTAACAGGGAACGTTAGTTACAGACATAGTGGGGCACAGATGCAGTTAAGACAGAAAAGGTCACCAATGAACTGCAGGAATTGCTTTTGAGAGGAACTGTATTTATGTGTAGCTGTTTTACACTGTCTGGTATCAGAAGGCTTGTGAGATCCCCACTGCCATGTGAAGAACTGGCTGCTTACATATCAAATTTTCCTGTCCTTTTCACACAGAAGAGAGTCGAAGAGCATTTTTTCTTCACAGATCACAGACCATTATACTAAACTGTATTTAGTCCTACACTGTGATGTAAAAAGAAGTCTGGAATGAATCATTACTTGTTCACCAAATTTTTAAATCACACCACAATTCCTTTACTCTTTGTGCCAGTGGGTTTTCTGTGTCTTTTTGGTTTATGTGGCTTTTTGGGTAGTTTTTTTTTGGCTAATGGGAATTAACTGGAGTGTAGATTTGTATAGAAAATATATGGTTTATCTAAGATTAAAAGGATCAGGAAAAAAAATAATGTGATTTTTCCCATTTCACGAAACCCACGATTCACAGCTACTTTCACATGGTTAGAAAAAATCTAAACATTTTTAACATTAGAGGGATGCTTTTAGAGTGGTTACTGTACTGTTTGTAAGTATGAAGCTGCTACACGGCACAGTGACACTGAAGCAGGGTCTTTTGACTGCACTAGAATTACACTGGGCTTACAATTAGTGCAAATGAGATCAAAGTCTGGGTCAATTTATTTGAATCGATACTGTACCAAAGTACACTGGAAAATGTCTGTTCTGGCAATGATAAAAAATTCCACTTCTTTTATTTTCCTATTTTCTTCTATTCCAAAGCTCTTTTGTACATGGAGCTGCACTTGAGATATTCAAATACATTTAAAAAAGGCTTTACATCTACCTCATTTCTTAAGGTTTTGTCTTTGAGATACAAATGTGAACAAATTGTCTACAAAGATTACAAAAGCTTCTTTTGTTCTCATTTTCCCTAATGAAAACAGCAGAAATGTTTCTTAAATATTGATGCTAAAAATACTTTCCAGCACTGCTGTTGCTGTTACTGATGTTACCAGGATTCCTTGTAGAATTAGCCTCATACAGAAGATGTGAATAAAAGCTCCATTTCTGCTTCCAGTTTTACATGGAGCCCATTGATTTCAGCTGCCTGGAAGAAGGCAGATGGGGTTTGTGTTTTTCAAGTAAATGCAAATAATCCCCCACAAAATGCTCTGGTTATCTTCCCAGCTGAGGTTTAGATTTGCAATCACAGTGCATCTGCTTGGCAAGGATTCTTCCACATTACATCAATAATAAAACAATAAAAATTTTTAAAAAAGATTTTCCTTCAAATAATAAAAACATATATAGAGCATTTAAACAAATTTCCACCAGTGAAATTGAATTCCAAACCAATCTCAGGTTGTAAGGATACCATCTGTCCATTGAAAAAAAAGCAAAACATTTAATTCTTAAAGAAAGGGCTTAAAGTAAGGGCTCCTTTTCAGCACCACTTGCTTTCATTTAACTGCTGCAGGGAGTTGCCTTTTTTATCATGGTTTTGTGTCAGTGACGTCAGCCTTTGCAGGTGGTGACATCAGCCTCAGCAGGGAAAGACAGAATTTTTAAAAAACAGATTGGGCAGGTAAATGGAGGAAGAATTTGTTTTAAACATTTGTGCTTTTAAATACTATATATGTTTGTAGAACCTCCTCCTGGAAATAACAGAGTGTATAAGCAATCCTATTTTGTCTGAATCATCCTTGCAACTTGAGCTGGATCACAGTCTTTCTCATCTTGAAAGCAGGGGAAAAGATAAGGATTCTGTTATGCAACTATTGAATAAGTTGACTTACCTTTTAATGAGCAAATTTACAAAAAACGTTACATAGCTTGGTTTGAGTTATATTCCTGGGATATACGATTGTAAAATAATAACAATTTTGTTACCATGTCAAAAACTTGAGTCTTTTTATGTGATCCATATAATAAAACCAATCACATTCAGCTTCACTGCAAAGAATATTAAAACATTAATGAAAATGTAGAGAAAGACATAACAGTATCACTCACCTCAAAACTTACAGATCCATTGTGATCAGTGTCAAATGCATTAAACAGAAAATGTGCATAAGTTGTGGAATCTACAATTTAAAACAATAAAAATGTGTCATAGTAAGCACATCTTCTTCATAGTAAGCACATCTTATTCAGTGAAAATAATTATTGGAAGATATATTTTGACACCAACTAAAATTAAAATTTCAAATCACTTCGAACTTTTTTGGGGAGGCAGGATGGATGGGGTAAATTAGAAGATTAAGTATATGTGCAACTAGACCTGAAAGGAAATTCTGAAAGTATAGGCTAGAATATCTTTATTCATTTTCATTACTATTGCTGCATGCAAACGATTAATCACTGAGATCTGAACAAGCGGTTAAGAAGTCACGTTATGGTACTCTGAAACAGTCTGCATCAATGGGAATGCTACTTTATCAGTTAAATGACCATAATGGGAGATCTTTCTCATGTGCTAAAGAAGAAAAATGTGTTCATTTGTCACTTTAAGTGAGGGAAGCAGGCACTGCCATCTGTGCACTTGGCGTATGGCTTTTACTCTGGCAACAGGCGGATTGTTTTAGTTGAAGATGAGCGGGTCAGAAGCTGCTGCTGCTCTGGGGCTCTGCACAGCAAACTGGCATAGGGAAATGCAGAAGATGAGATTTCAGAGTCGCTTCAGCAGCATCTGCCACCCATCTGGCTGTTCAGTACTTGTCAACAGCCACAGGTGAGAGACCCATAGCTGGAATGCTGCTCAATTTCCATTTTACAAAAACTAGGTGCTTAAAAACCATGAACATGAGTGGCTGTGACTAAGTGAAGAGGTCAATAATATTCTGAAAGATGGTTGAACAAGTGATGTTTTCACTAATTGTTCACTTTTCAAGCCTTTTTGACTTCTTAATCAAGTCGTTTTGGAAACACTATACAGCATCCATGTATCTTTCCATTTCCACCAGATTCCTTCCAAGAGACACAAGCTGGTCCAAGAGTAATATATTTTGAACAGAAACTCAAAACTGTGCTTCACAGATTCAGACCAAGTAAGCGATGTCTCTGATCTTCAACATGTTAATTTAATAAAACACAACTGTAATAAGAACAAACCTTGCAGCTTTCAAACCTTATGTCTTTTAACACATTTCAGAGAATTTCCTCCCCAGAATTTAGAAATTCTGTAGAGATATTCGTTCACTCATCCATGATGCCAGCCATCAGTATGGTTGCTTAAGCAGGCGAACTTCCACTTTAACTGAAAAATGTAAACTTCTTTACTAAAGTTTATGATGTTTAGAATTTTAATTCTCTTATTTTTTAAAATCTACTGAGACATCTGTTGTACAACAATACAGTATACAAATCTTCAGAAAAAAAAAAAAACATCATAGAGGCATAATTACTGTAAATTGAATTTTAAATACCATCCAATTTTCTTGGCACTCATTTCTTGAAAATGTGTGAAATATTCCTAATCATTTTCTGTCTATTTACATTTTGTTTGTGCATGTAATTTTAGTCTGAAATTTTGTCTTCTAAAGCACTGCAGGATGAGGTACTCTGGTGTTTTAGTTACAGCTACTTAATGTGATCCCCATACACATCTTGAACATTAATCACTTTAGACAAAAGCTTCACTTTTTAAGTCAGATGTGTTTTCGTTTCAAGGATCTGATACAACTTGTACGTTAAATTGATATTTTGACAGGTTGAGGCAGGAACAGATATTAGATCAGAATTCTTTTGAAATACATCATTAAAACATTTTAAATATCAGACCAAAAAATGGTAATCATTATATATCCAAGAGTAAGCCTTAGAAAACCATGAACATAATCCACTTTTTTCTTAACTGAGGAGCACAATAATTGTTCAGTGTGCGGATTCCTATCTGTGACCTGCACGGCTGAAGAACAAATCCTAGTGCTTTTTTCCCAGATAACCTGTTGTGTGCATGCAGGGAAGCTACTGGGGCCTAGTCATTCACCAGTATAGCACTGTCTTTCTCATTTTCTAGAAAGTTATTTTTCTATTTTTCTATCTTTTGGGCATGGAAAACTTTTCAGAAAGCTATTCCTGCCTTTTGAAATACACTGATTTTATTACAATTCTGCATCATCTCCTTTGATATTCTTGTAGATCCTGTGTCCCTAGTCCTGGTTAGTCCTTGACATCACTTGATAAAGTTGCTGGATGACATCGGCAGATCATGATTTGATAATTGCTTGATCACTCTAAGGCTTAAAATGTTACTCAATATCATTCCTTTTATTCAGGTGATATGTACAGTTTTAATTACAAATTCTGGTGTGTCAGTTTTTTGATTATGTGAACATTTGTGGCACACATCTACATGTATGATGTTTTAACATGGGGACATACGAATACATTGCCTTTGCTGTTGTGATTTTAAATATTTTTCAATATTCACATGCAAAAGTAGTGTTTCAAGTTCAGCTGAAATTCAGAGGCCTTCACTGCACACAGCACATTGGCATTACACTCACAGGTGAAACATCAGACTGGCTGCTTAACTAGAAGCTTCAATACGGTGATTTCACTCTGCAGTTAACAGGCTATATTAATGGTTCTTGGAAGACATCTTGTCTACTGTGGGAAACCAAGAACAGACTTGGGTTTTCAAACCTCTCAAAAAATAGCAAAAGTCAGCAAGGCATCTGCAAAACATATCAAAACCTACAGAAAATGCTATAAGTCTCATTGTGCCTGCAAAAACAATAGAATTGCTGCTGTGAGCTGTTACTCTTGTGAGGACAATCAACTCTTCTGCTGTCTCCTCTGATTATTCTTCCTGTAATTTTGAGGAAAATTGCATAGTGCTTTCACATTTATTTACACTGTCTTCATGGATTCTTTAGCAGTCGGCCTTCATGTGGAGGATGTGGACCATAGGCAGTGAGTGGAATAAGCTTCTGGTGGTCACTTCTTGGTGCAATTCATTGAGAATCTCTAAAACTGCTTTACTGAAAAAGCTAAAATGCTGTTAGCATGCACAGCAGCATCTACTGCAGATGAATTATCTGGATTTGATATTTTCATACCATGCTAAAATTGTAATACATGGCGTTTCTATAAAAATAATTCTGATTCAGTAAAGCAAAGTTGCTGTGCAGGTGACAGGAAATGTAGTGTATTAGCACCTCTGAAGCAAACAGGAGTTTTGAATTTGATTTTGGGGTTAAGTTCACTTCATGGACTCAAAACTGAAAAGAAGCTAAAGATTTATAGTAGTCTATTGGATCCTGGTTTTCTTAGGGATTCTTTTTACTGTGTCTTCCCAAAATTAAATAAAGAGAAAGAAAAAAGCATATTTTCAGTCCAAAAAGTACAGTACCATTGTCAGCTCTGAATACTGTTGCCACTGCTGCCGACAAGCCATAGGATTTGCAGAGCTCACTGCAGGACCAAGGCCAGGCAGGCTCATGCTGCATGGGCTCCTCTTAACCTGCCTGCAGCTTTATCTTTGTTCTCCCCCGTGTAGCTGTGGCAACTGCTTCTCTGATCAGCCACGTTTCTGAGGCCGATTGGTTTTGCTTTTATGGTACAACTCTAAAAACACGCAGTTATTCTAGGCTGTAATGCTGGCGTGGGTAGGATGTGGGAGGGGATGGGGCACAGGCTGGAACTGGAGAACCTACAGCCATAATGGTCTCACCTGGAGCCTGGTGAAGAAAAACAGATGTGGAGCTGGACAAGAGTGGTATTAGGGGTAGCAAGAAACAAGGAGATAGTAAAAGATGCCATTCAATAAATTTAGAAGTAACACAGAGCTGGAAACCAGAAAGGTACACAAATGATCCGAAGTGAATCCTAGAACAAAGACTGAAAAAGCACCAACAAAAGTATCAGATTCCTTGTGGGAGAATTCTGCATGCTGACTCCTCACTTTCTCCCACAAATGACACCACTCCTCGAAAGGCCCAGAGGAGCAGTGGGCAGGTGAGCATAAGACAAGGAAATGGGGTAGAAACTAATTAGTGTCTGTGTAGCAATTTTAATTTTATTAATGTTCTTACTGTTTCTTTGTAACAGTTAGCTCTGGACTAAGAAAGGCTATACTTTTGAGACTGCACTTATTCTAACAATACATCTATTTGTGTAAAAGTTGTTCTTTCTTTTTGCCCATGAACTATTTTGAGTGTAACAATAAGATTTTTTTTATTCTTATAATTTTAAGTGCAGTAAAGGTGTAGTAAACCACATACGGAGTGGTTGTTTTCACCAGCCAGAGTGGTTAGAAAATGCAATATCTGAAACTGTAATTAGCTGGGCTTAAAAGCTTAGATGCAGAAATAATCAGTAAGTGGGTCAATTCTTCTAGCCTCTTGTTCTTCCCTATTGATTGTGCCTACTTGCTGAGGATTCCAGTGATGGTAATCCACAATGAATGCTGCTCTTTACCTTGTAGGTTTTTATTTAAAATGAAACTAATTGGAAAAGCTTTTGTTCCCACCAATTAAGTTGAGGGGGTTTCTGATTTTTTTTTTACATGCATGAAAAGAAAGAGCTATGAAGAGCTACGAACAGTCCTATGCTAGCATGCAAATCTCAAGAGTTGTGGGAAAAGATGAAGAGGCAGGACTGAAGAGCTGTAGGAAAATAGGAAGAGAGAGGACTGAATGGTAAAGGTAAGCAGAAGAAAAGAAGAGAAAACTATTCAAACTAAAAAATAATCTGAGTTTCTATGCAAAAAGAAAAAGTGAAATGTTTTGTGTTGCCTTCATTGCACTGAAAGATAATGAAGAATAGGCCCTGGAAGCCATTGCACTGAAATTAAGCATAGCAGAAAAAACCTTTGTTTATGTAAAGAAACTCCATGAAAGTCAAGGGAGTTCTCCCACTGATACTAAATTTTAATTTGACTCACAAGACTAGTGCCTCCTACAGATTTCAATCCTACTGTGAGAGGTTTTGTGGAGTGAAAGAGAATGGAAAAGAATGCATAGGAAGTTTGAAAGGAAATAACCTACTTCAAAGATACCCAAATACAGGTGGTATCTTCGTAACAGCAGGCTGACTTCATGTAGATGTTGCATTTCCTTCAGAAACTTACACTTTTAAATGTGTCCAATAAGTACCCCAAGAGTTAAACAGAGCCTGAGACAACAACAGTTTCTTAATTTGAATAGGGTCTTTTGTCACACTTATAAGTAAACAAACATGCCACAATGCACTGCTGTACCAGTGAGGGCTGCCAAGTACTCACCTCCCTGTGGAAAGAACTGAGAGTAAATCTCTTTGAAGGTTTCTTCATTGACAACACCACTGGGACATTCCTGGAAAAAGTTAGAGACAATAAATAAATAATGTGGAATCTGTTTCAGGCAAGCCCTGTGTTAAAAGACCATATAGAATATGTGTAAACCTAAGAGTTCAACATTCTACATGAGCCTGATTTCACTCTAACAATATTAATGCATCACTTTGAAATGCCTTCCTAAAGAGTTCCCATTGGACAATTTTTTTTTCTGTGCCATTTCTTCTCAACTTCAGCATATAGAACTGAGTGACAGCATGAGCAGCAGCCACTGTGTCAATGTCACCACTGGTCATGGGCAAGCAGCACCTGTGTGGCACAGAAACCAAGCAGGAAGCTAAACTGCATTTGCAGTTCAGTATCAAAATCAAAATAAGCAGTCATAGTGTAGCTGATGAGTTACAGTTAGTATGTTCAGAAAACTCCACCTCAGAAGGTCTTTCTCAAGCCTTGCAGATCCTTCTGCCTCTTTACATCTTGTTTATAAACTGAAATATGTAAGGAAGAACAAGCAGAATCTGTCACAGCAGGATGTAGTCAGAGAAAACAAAGTGAAACAAAGGGGAAGAAAAGAGGATTAGAGCAGTCACTTTATAAAAATGAGTTATGTAAAGAGGTAGAAAAAACAAGGAATACAATATCAGTTACTAAGTCATGCAGTAAAAATCAAAGGCAAGACTCTGGAGTCAAGTCCCAAACTTTCCAGACTGAGCAGATGATTTCAGACAATGCACATAATTCCCTTTTGCCTTAATTCCTTCTTCAATGCAGTGGGTGAAAAAAAAGCCTGGCAAGCTCTATAAGACAGAAGTATATCTGGAAACAAAGTAAGGGAAGAAAAGTCAGTTAAGGTTCATATATATATATTTGTCAAGTGCTATGCAATTCACACTCATATGTGATCCTATTCTGGAGCACTGGGGAAAGGAAGTAGCTTCATATGAAGATAAAGAACAGTGTAACATCATTTGCCAGTGTAATAACAGCTTTTCCTGTGACAAATGACATTTCTATTAGATCAAATAAGGAACAAGAAGATATTCATAGCTTTGACAGCTTATGTGAAGAAACAAATAGTGTCATCTCACTAATTGAGAGATGATGCACTGCCTGAAAAAACCCATGTCAGATCTATACATGTTGGATTATTTTGACTGATGTCACCCTCAACCAAAATTTTGATTTACGTCACTTGCCCTCAGCCAAAATCAGATCGTAAGTTCCTGATAAGTGGGAGCATGCAAATACATAGTAAGAAACAATTGTTTGATCAGAACAGGTAGACAAAGGGCAGGCATGGAGACATAAGTACAAAATGACTTGTGTATGGCCACAGAGGCTGTCACTGATGCAAGCGTAATGAAAGTGCAGGTAATGAATAACTTCTTGAATTTATCTAGGTAGGTTCTCTGTATTTAGCTCTTCTCTTTGTCACGGCATTGCCAGTAACAGCTTACATTTTCCATCCACAGAATGTAAAACCTGAAATATTGGCCAATTACGCTTAGAAAAAACAGTTAGTTTCAAACTTTTCTTTTTTAAGCTTGGAGCTTTCTTCTGAGACTCTACAAGATGCAAACAGTTTTTCCTTAAGCAATTTGAATCTAAATACATATCTAGTGAACATCATTTACCTTCAATAACATTCTTTTGCTGTCTCATAAATCTGGCATTATTGAATTTATCAAGAGATTTCTCCATTTCTGTAAAAGGCATTTAATATTGTAATTGTTAAGTATTCCCCATGGCTTTATATCAAGTTATTGCTGACTTCTTCCATTGTACCAACTGCAATTTAAAAAAGAAAAAATGTTTCTAATTTTTCATTTAACTCTTATGAAGCAATATAATTAAATAGTTTGAAAGAAAAATTTTAGACATTTAAACCATTTCCCATATTCTTTTTTTTCCCTCCAAATGTATATATAATTTATTTTGTTACAGAAAATTTGTTTGACAGTCCTTTAAAATTGCATTAGATTGCATTATGTGTTCCTTGTGGAAGAAAAGGAAAGGAGCATAAATTCATCTTGAACTGTTCTTCCTGAGTCCTGTCCTCTCTGCTTTAAAGAGAAAATAAAATAGACTGACAGAGAGAACAGAGATAGAGAATAATAAATATGCTCTGCCTTTTGATGGTCTCTCCTGCTTGCTGTTTTACTGCTGGGAAATTACACTTCCAGCACATGGTCTTATGAACTACTCCAAAACCTGTAAATGATTTACAAGCTTCATGTTGTCTAAGCTGTCTTTTTTTTTTTAAAGTATTTCTAAGAATATTGCACTGGGCAGATTTATCTCTACCACTTAATCAACACCCATTTTAGACAGGAGACAAAAAAGAAAAACAGTGAAGGGAAAAGGGAACAAAGCAGAAAAAAAACACCAAGCTCATAAATCTGTCAGTACAATAAATATTTTTCAATGCTGGATTAAGCTGTATTACAAACTTTGGCAATTTTAAATATATTTTACTTACAGGCTTTTGCATGTCAACTTTCCCATCCAATTTTGTTCTGCTTGATTTCAGATATATGTTCATGTGTATCAACTTAATTGTCTCTGACTAACAATATTTTCTTTTTTTGCATAGACTTCTATTCTGACTGAAAACTTAAAAGTACCATGAATGCACAATGTAATGAAAATCGTAAACATAATTCTGAAATATCCTTTGAAGTTAACTCTAACAAAACCCATGCAACTCAAGCCCACAGTCACTTTTCATCGCCTGGTCCAGTTCTTAATTTTTCATTTGAATATAACAGGACTTTGACAAAATCAGCATGAGAACGTTAAAAAATTGTCTTAATTTAACAACATAATCTAGGCCAAATTAATAATGAAATCCAGGCCAACATTCACATCATGAAGTACGATCAGAGCTGCAATGCTCTGCATCTGGAAAGAAATTGTTCCTTGCATCAGAACAAGCTGTGAAGAGATTGGCAGAATGGCACCACTGCCAAAAAGGACGTGGGGTGACAGCAGATGTCAAGTTGAGTACGAGTCAACAAAGCATTCTTAGTGCAAATAAGTGCATGGCTCCCAAGCCATGGCCAGCTATTGTCTGTCCCTGCTTGTCAGAGTACAGAGCAGAGGCTAAGCGATGTGGAGGATCTGAGGAGGGCTCAGCAGCAGGGATGGAAAGTATGTGGAGGGGTGGAGAGCTTGGGGCCTGTTTCAAGTAGGTAGGTCAATGCTAAGGGATGAGACAGCAGCAACATACCTGAAGAGCAGTAATAGCCAAACCCTTGACTGGGGCAGACACTTTAACAAAAACAGCCTGAGTTTTGTGAGCTAACACTGGACAGATGAGAAAAACTATTCTATACTACTTGGTATACTGAATTCTGATATGTTTGAGATAACCCCTAATTTTAAGGAGAATTTGTGCTGTTGATCAGCTTTGGAAAGTCGTTCCATTGCATGTATGGGGCAGAACTTTTCTGTGCACTCTTTGCTTCCAAAGCTGCATCTCTGCAAATTCATTATCTGGGGTTTTTAGTACTGTATAAATTACTGGGAACAAGCCCACTGACACTTAGTTCATAAATTGTTCTTGTCTTCTTCCTTCTGTGAAATAAAATGTGTTCCAAAAGTAGCACATATAAAGAACAAAGGTACAAACCGTGCCTCAGAGGACAAGATAGGGACTTTGGTGAAAGATGTCTAACATGGTCTCATTATGCCTTGGAAGGAGAAAAACAGATAATCTCTCTCCGGAAGGGGCCCGTCACATCTTGACATGCAGGCTGACACATTGCCATTAACAGTACAGACATACTAAAGGCTTTTGCTAAAATGGATGTGTATGTCAGCTGTTGTGCTTCAGCAGCTGAGTCAAACAGGTATTTGTAGCACATATATGAGCCTTATAAATCTTAGCAACTGCCACATTCAAAATCTAACTCTGAATCTCTGATACTCAACAGCTTTTGCCAGTTCATGTCAGATAATAGCGCTCTGCTGCTCAGGTAATGGCTCTGTAGCCATGGGTCCTTATGGAAAAAAAGCTGGAATCCCAGCAGCTAGGAGGCTGAGCAGTGACAAAAGCACTAAGGTGAGTGTGGGTGGATGAAAATAATAGAAAAAGTTATCTCAAACAAGGAGTGACACGTTTAAAAAATGGTTTTTAGTTTGTTGAAAAACTAATGTGATTCTAATTGCAGTAGTGATTAGGCTGATGAATCACTAAAATTGCATGTATCCCATGTTTAGATGGGGTAATTGGCTGAGCAGTGAAGTTATAGTGCATGAAGTTATGGTTGTAGAATAAAAATAAAAACTACAAGTGACAAAAAGCAACAATGGCATCACGATGATAATTTCCACATCAAGGTTCCCAAGTTTTTAATTTTCCTTCCTACAGCTGCAAATCCACAACAACTTATTTCAAATGCCTCTTTGGAGTGGCTGGTGATTACAGTAATATCACCGTTTACCTTCAACACAGGGTGACCAAAGGTGTTTTTTTGCTTTTCCCCCAATACACCAGCTCCTCCAGAGCTGTCCCTGCTTACTTCTGTTTATATTTTATATGCTTTTTGCTCCCAGCTGTATGCTGAATTCTGTTAGCTCAAGCAGACCCACTAAGGAGGGTATTACATTTAATAAATATATATAATTCAATATATAGTACATTAATTTATATTCCATATATCACTACTGATTTTACTTGGGAATATCTTTAGTATTAAAAATACGTTTACCAATACCAATCAGGCTAAGTTCAAGTTTTGACCTCTGCTAGAACTGCATGCTGTGAATAAGCTTGTAACTTACTGTATTCTAAACAAAACAAAACAGGTAATTTTGTAACTCATTTCTCTATACTAAAAAATAAATCTAACGCAATGTTGATGTATTCATCAGGAATGCATTTCAGTGCCAGCTTATTTTTAAGTGACTAATAGTGTGATTAGCATTGTGTCCTGAAAGCATTCTTATAATATAGGGTGTTTTATATATTTATACAGAAGTATATATATAGATAGATAGATATAGATATATACATAT